TATTCCTTAAATATGTACTTTTTAATGGAGACCTAGTCTAAAGATCGCTTGCAAGCCCACGTGCTCGTACATAATTGCTATTTCTCATCAATTAATTCGTTTTATTTTGTAACGGTGTAAATAAAACAATCTGATTCACTGAAAAACGTTTCAAAGTGGCCTGAATTGTGCATCCAGCCCGATGTAAAATGTAAAGCTTTAAACAGGTCTATAAGTAATGAATACACCAATTTTAACAACACCCCCCTCCCCTCTTAAATAGGTCCACTGCTAGACAGGCATTATAAACAAAACGACAAAACAAAAACGACTGTTACGCAAGGCTTTATTGAGTTTAGAGATATGCATATAAAAATAGCTGTAAAAATAGGAATATCAATAGCATGACAGGGATTAGTGAATGATTTTTGCCACAAGACGCCTGAGTAAATATAATTTTCGGCCATTAGCAAACATTAATCGCCTTATATATCGCCACATATCGCGGGGTTAAATGAGTAATAAGGTGAAAATATTTATAATCCTCTCAGAACTAATACCTGGATAAACAGTCTTAAGTCTTCACTTATCTAAATGGTCGCATTTCATAAAAAAAGTGTACTTGCTGTAGGCTATTCAAGTTCTTATGTCAATCAATTGTGTTAAAAATGTTGCGCGGTCAAGCATGTAATAGATTACGTCATCAAAAGTTCAATTCGATAAAATAAGAGTGAAAACAGTTTAAGTTGAAAGATATTGTTCACAAACGTATTGTTTGTCATTTTTACTAGTTGTTGATGATGAATATTTTAAGTTGTGAACATTTTTAAGTATTGATCGATTGACCAAAAGACCAACTCGACTAGGGCGACAATGCCTTAAACAAACAAGATATGAGAGCTGGAACGAGCTTCTAAGACCAACCCACATTTCTAACTTACAACGCTGATTGGTTGGATAAGGATACTATTAAAGGGTGTGCACAACACCCCAACCTTCAGTGGACTAGCGGAGTAAAAAGCATGTGAAACGTTAAGAAGCTCAACCTTACAGGACAGACAACCAAAGACAAGAATAGAAAACAACGAGGTCCGAAAGGACGAAGAATCCGAAGAGAAGAGAAGAACGAAGCCAAAAACTAACATTAATGAACATTAGTTAACAATTGTAAAAGATCTCCTACCTCGCGTAGAAAACAAAAAGGACTCATAACACAACGTACAGCTAAAATGTGTGAAAACCTTCCTGGAAAAGGCTAAAAGACTGTTACAAAAACATATACCAACTAGGATAAGGAGTTGTTGAGGCATTAAGATTCTAAAATTGCTTGCAGAATTTATAGTTTTTTTGGAGTCTGAAAAACGTCCCCCGGCCTACGGCCTCGTTACATTTTTTTGGATCCGGGCCTCGCAATCGGTAAATAACATATATATCTTCGTTCGCACTGGGCGACACAAGGGCGACACCGGGATTTCGTCACCAGCAGACGGGTTTCACTTCTCGCCAATAAAGCGCTACGAAAAACCGACTCCGACAACTGGTATATAATAAAAAATTAATCAACTGTTATTGTTTATATGTTTTCTTGCAGGAAACCAAGCACTCCGTGAATCCGATCTTATATCTAATCATATCATCCATCGTTTGGGAGAGTGCCACATTCTCTGTATTAGTCAAGAAAATTGCTATGGTTACAACTACAGAGTGAGGTCAAGCAACCTTTATACAGCAAACTGTCAGTTGAGCAACAGCTCGGTGAAGATGAACAAAACAAAAATGAAGAATGGGCCATGGGTTTTTTACGAAGATGTTTTGGTAAGAGCCAAATTATGCAACTGAATTGTTTATAAACCACAACTCATTTTACATTGCTCTGCAACAATGATTGAAGCAATATGTGAATTTACGATGTTCTTTTTCTTTCTCATATAGGTCACAGAAGGTAAGAAAAAAAAACGCATTAAGAGTTTGCATTTGCAGGTAATTCCATAGGAATAAACTATATTTGGAAATAGAAAGTCCCTTTTTAGAGCATGCAAATAATATTCTAATTCATGTTTTATCTAATTTTTCAACATAATTACACTGTTATTTTGAGGGAGTTATTTTAACTCCTAAAATAGGAGTTACGGAAAAAGGTACAGAACAACTCACTTTTTGGAGTTAAAAGTAACTCCAGATTTGGAGTAAAATATTAACTCCGTTTTTGCAGTCAGAATAACTATCATTTAGGGGTTAAAATGTAACTCTTAAAAAGGAGTTAAGCAGTGGTATAAACTCCACTATCGGAGTTATATTATTTCTACTTTCAGAGTTCTGATGCAAATTGTGTTTGTGTATTGGATTATTAAACTAAAAACATTAAAGCCAAAGGTTCTCGTAGTGTCATATTGGTAAATTTATCTCACAAAATTTCTTATTATCAATTCACATGCATTTGTATAATATTGTGAGTTGTATATTTGAAAAGACAGATCAATACAAAAGCTCTGAATTGCTATATTAATTGTCTGAAAGGATCACCTTTTCATAGCCCACTTTTAAATAATTCTAACATCAGTTGTTGCTTTTAACCTCAATAATACTCTTCCTATACCCTAAATTATGAATTACTTCTGAAAGACTTTGATTACTGTAAATTTTAAAGTGATAAAATGACCTATTTAATATTGATTTTTGCATCCGGCCTGGTGTGAAATGTGAATAAAACGGCCAAACCAAAGCAACGTAAGGCTAAAATGTGTAAAACCTTTCCGGAAAAGGCTAAAAGTATGTTAGAAATAAAAAACATACCCGAAAAACGTCTTAGTTTGGATTTTTTACTCCTTTTTTCGCTGCATTTTACGTTGTTTTTCTAGTCGATTTGCCCGAATTTGCCGTGATTTAGTTGCTATGGTAACAATATCTGCCATTTCATTGGCTGTTTCCCGACTAGGATATCCTTTTAAGGAGTTGTTGACGTATTAAAATTCTGAAATGGCTTGTAGCCTTGTAGATTGCAGAAATTATAGTTTTTATATAGTTATTTGCTAATTTTTTTGCTTTTTGTGTGTTTCATGAAGTCAATAATGTAAAGGTAAAAAAATAAACACGTTATATACTGCAGCTTCAGCCCAGAGGCAAAAATCTGTGCTCTCGGTCTCGAAAACTTCCCTCGGCCTACGGCAAAGGTTAAAAAATAAACACATTATATTTTACCGGCAGCTTCGGCCCGGATACAAGAAACTGTGCCGACGGTCTCGAAAACGGAAATAACGACCTCACAGCCAGAAATAACATATATAACCAATAGATCATCGTCAGCCCTGCCATTTTTCCCTATTTTATGGGGGGAATGGCTTTGATATACAGATGAACAGAACAGCCTTATAAACTTGAACTTAAAAGTTAAATGCCGTAGGAAGAAACTTTATACATCGGGATGAAGAAAGCGATATAAGTTAAAATATAGGGTTTAGAAGTCAAATTATATTAGTGGCACAAACATTCGTAATTTTTACAAGCCTTTTCCGCCTTTTTCACTCCAGAGTTAAATCAATTCACGTTTATAAGACTAAAATTTATAATAAACTTTTAACCCGCTCCTCTTGTGCACGCCATTTTGAATTTTATTTAACTCCAAAAAGAGAGTTGAATTTTTATCACCCCCAAAAAAGGGTAATAGGTGAGTCAAAATAACTCATAAAAGAGGGTTAGATTGCTTAACTCCCCCAAAAGGAGTTAATTCTGCATAGTTAATAAGGTCTAAAAATTATTAACCCCTCAAAGAGAGTTATTTTTACTCCGAAACTATAGTTAAATTTTTAACTCCACTAAAACAGGATAATGGGAGAGTTAAAATAACTCCCTGAAAATAACAGTGTATATGAGGTTCTAAATATTTTTATGTTCTACACTCCAAGCAGATTACAAGGCACATAACGTAGCAAAAATATCGTTTTTAATGACATTATTCGCATTATGGAGTCCTTTTGATAAATTGAACAATAGTAATACATATATGTTATTTACCGGCTGCGAGATCTGGATGCAAAAAAATGTGCCGAGGTCTCGAAAACGGCTCGAGGGCGTAACGTGTTTATTTCTATAACCTTAACTTTGTTGACTTTATCAAACACAAAAAATACAACAAATTTAATGAATAAACTATAAAAAGTATATGAATTCTGGAAGCCATTTTAGAGTTTTTGTACGTCAACAACTCCTTATAAAGAAATCCTAGTTGGGAAACAACTAATGAAATGGAAAATATTGTTACCATAGCAACTAAATCATAAAAATCGATTAAAAAAACAACACATTGACAGCCGAAAAAAGGGTAAAAGTCCAAAGTAAGACTTTTTCGGGTAAGTTTTTTATTTTTTACAGTGTTTTGGCCTTTTCCAGAAATGTTTTTACACATTTTAGCCGCATTTTTCTTTGGTATTGCAGTTTTGTTTACATTTTTCACTGAAGACTGGAAGCATTTCACAGCAGGCCTGATGCAAAATTCCGGCCCACTGTGAAATGCTTCTCAGCCAATCAGTTTGCTTTATTTAGACAGTTAAAAACTAAAAAGTTTTAATACAGGAAGCCGTGCAAGTAAAAAAAACTATCGTGCAACTTTTTTAAAAAAAATGCAAATGCTAATAACGTAGTCTACATAGTTACCCTATTTAAAACATATGCGTAATAATTAACTTGCCGTAAATAATCTGGTTAGGAAAACAAAAACATGTTCCATGAACTGTTCCACGAAAAACGTCCTTTGTAGCTTAGTGGCGATAGCAATTCTCCGGTATCGGACAAGCGTAGGTGCAATTCTTGCCAGGAGACTGTAACTAAGTATACGACGTAAATTGTATTTAATTCACAATCAACATCAATTTTAACGGTTTATTATACCACCCTATTACACTTTCTGATCGGAGGTGATCAATTTTATTCGTATTTATCTTCTAAATAGTATGAATATTAACGTATGAAAAATGTTATTTCAGATATTGATGAATGTGGGAAAGGAACGCACCAATGTAGTAAAAATGCAAATTGCAGTAACACACCAGGTTCATATAACTGCCAGTGTCAAATTGGTTACGAAGGAAATGGAAAGAAATGCAATGGTACACAATTATTTCTCATCATTTAAATCAGCATTGCTGTTATATATCTTGAGTGCAACTTAAACCAATTTTCATAATCAATTATTCCCTCATCAGCCCGTATTGAAAAGAAATGTAAGATATTGAAACAAAATTTTTGTTCCCAGAAAAGGAATCTTTTATATGAGTAAACTTTGCAGATATCAATGAATGTGCAGATAGTCCATGTGGTTACAATGCAAACTGCACAAACACGAATGGTTCATACATTTGTGAATGTCGAACTGGATATGAAGGAAATGGAATTAATTGCACAGGTTAGATCCGGGTGCGATTGTCAGTGAGGCTGGATAAGGCAAAGTTTAAATATACTCTCATAGATCTTGTGAATGAATGAAACTGCATATGTGCATTTAATGTATACTTCAAATGACAATGAATATGAAAATGTATACTTTCAATGTACATTGAAATATTTCAGCTTATTTGTCCACTAAAAAGATAACATTTTTACTGGAATAAACAGAATTCATGTATTTATTTTATCGTGTCTGAAATCCAGGTTTTTAACCAATCAAAAAGAGGCTTTTCACGGCGGCTATCTTTGTGATCAACTTCAAAGTTCCGACAATGAACATGCATGCATACATTAATAACGGGAAAACTTTGAAGTTGACCTGAAATATTCCATGAAAAACCTGTATTGCTTCCCCTCTTTGTATATCTACAGCACCGTACTTGGACCGCTTCATTTGTGGCGGGGGGGTGATGTGTTTTTTATTCACGCATATTTACATATAATAGGCACAATAGCGTACAAAAGAAATCGTTCGGGCATGAATAAGACGAAAAAATGATTAACATGCACCCCCCTCCAATTAAGCTATGTAGCTATATATATATATTTATATATATATATATATATATATATATATTATATATATATATATAATATATATAATATACAACGTTTTTGCAAACGGGTGTATATATATATATATAATATATATATATTTATATATATATATATTTATATATATATATATATATAGATGTACGTTTTTTAAAAAGTCCGTCTTGTAGAACAGAATAATATGAATATATTTTAACGCTAGTTCCTGCCTTTATTGTACTGCATTACAAATAGTGAAATAGCTACTATCCTCGACCAAGCAGTTTCCAGTAATTTATAATGCTATATACATTTATTATTTATTATATATACATTTATTATTATTCTAGATGTCGACGAATGTGAAAAAAAAACACACAAATGTGACAACAATGCAAACTGCACCAACACTCCAGGTTCATTCAACTGCCAGTGTCAACATGGTTACACAGGAGAAGGACGGAAATGCGAAGGTAGCTATAAAATTGTTTTCTTTTGTGAAATAAAAAACAATACATAGCAATATACTGATATTTTTACATTTGTGAATCTCGAACTGTATATGAAGGAAATGGAACAAATTGCACAGGTTAGATCAGGGGCGGTTGTCCCAAAGGCGTTTAGATTAAATGCTGGATAGGCCAAGTTTAAAAACACTCTCATAGACCTTGTGAATGACTGAAACTGGATATACGCATTTAGTATGTACTTCCATTGACAATTAAACTATTTACATCGAAATATTTCAGCTTATTTGTCCAATAAAAAGATAAATTGACCTTTATTTTTAGCTTGTCCACAGGGTAACTTATATCCACAAATTTTACGTCATTTTTACAGCAATAAACAGAATTTATATATTTATTTTTTCGGGTCTGATATGCAGACTTTTAACCAATCCAGTAGAGGTTTTTCACGGTGACTGTCTTCATGATCAACTACAAATACCGACAAGGAACATGCATGTAAAAGGGAGAACTTTGAAGTTGTACACAAAGATGGCCGCCATGAAAAACCTCTATCACTTCCCTTTTTTGTATATCTATAGCACTGTAGATAGAGCGCTTAATATGGGGCTGTTCTTTTATTTGTCTATATTTTCATATCATTGGGACAATAGCGTACAAAAGAAATCGGTCGGGCATGAATAAGACGAAAAAATGAATAAAATGCACCCCCATCAAATTAAGCTATGCAGCTATATATATGTGTGTATACGCCTTTTAAAAAAAAGCCCGTCTTGCAGAACAGAATAATATATGAATATATTTTAACGCTAGTTGCTGCCTTCATTAATTGCACTGCATTACAAATAATAAAATATCTATTATCCTCGGCGAAGCAGTTTCCAGTAAATTTATGATGCTATAATAATGTTCTTAACTTCAATATATACCTTTATTATTATTCTAGATGTCGACGAATGTGAAAAAGGAACGCACAAATGTGACAACAATGCAAATTGCACCAACACTCCAGGTTCATTCAGCTGCCAGTGTCAACATGGTTACACAGGAGAAGGACGGAAATGCGAAGGTAGCTATAAAATTGTTTTCTTTTGTGAAATAAAAAAACAAAACATGGCAATATACTGATATTTTTACTATTGTGAATGTCGAACTGGATATGAAGGAAATGGAATAAATTGCACAGGTTAGATCAGGGGCGGTTGTCCGAAAGAAGTTTAGATTAAATGCTGGATAAGCCAAAGTTTTAAAATGTTCTCATAGACCTTGTAAATGACAGAAACTGGATATACGCATTTAATATGTACTTCCATCGACAATCAAACTATTTACATCGAAATATTTCAGCTCATTTGTCCAATAAAAAGATAAACTTGACCTTTATTTTGAACTTATCCACAGGGTAACTTATCCACACATTTTACGTCATTTTTACAGCAATAAACAGAATTTATATATTTATTTTTTCGGGTCTAATATGCAGATTTTTAACCAATCCTGTAGAGGTTTTTCATGGTTACTGTCTTCATGATCAACTACAAATACCGACAAGGAACATGCATGTAAAAGGGAGAACTTTGTAGTTGTACACAAAGATGGCCGGCATGAAAAACCTCTATTACTTTTCCTTTTTGTATATCTATAGCACCGTAGTTAGAGCGCTTAATTTGCGGTGTGTTCTTGTATTCGTTCATATTTTAATATCATTGGGACAATAGCGTACAAACGAAATCGGTCGGGCGTGAATAAGACGCAATGAAAAACCTCTATTGCTTCCCCTTTTTGTATATCTACAGCACCGTAGTTATACCGCTTCATTTGTGGCGTGGTGGGGGGGATATGTTGTTTTATTCATATATATTAACATATAATAGGGACAATAGTGTACAAAAGAAATCGTTCGGGCATGAATAAGACGAAAAAATGAATAACATGTACACCCCCTCCAATTAAGCTATGCAGCTATATATATGTGTGTACGTTTTTTGAAAAAAGTCCGTCTTGTAGAACAGAATAATATGAATATATTTTAACGCTAGTACCTGCCTGTTACTGCATTACAAATAATGAAATTAATAGCTATTATCCTCGACCAAGCAGTTTCCAGTAATTTATGATGCTAATAATGTTCTTAACTTGAATAAACAGGATTTATATTTTTTCTTTTTCGGGTCTGATATGCAGGTTTTCAGGCGCGGATCCAGCCGAAAATCTGACCGTGTCATATAGGACTAAATATTTTCCGGGGGGGGAGGCGACTATGGACCCTCCGAAACAAACATTTTCTGAGCTTTGGTTCTACAATAATCTTCAGCGAACGTTTAAAGGCGAATATTGAAATTCCCTGTACTTTCATAAAACCACAAAACCATTTTCAAAATTTTTGATAAGGTATTTACCGATATTTCATTCACACTCAACTTAACGTGAAATTTGCATACACAAATTATTCACAGACCACAGCGTAAATGCAAATTTGTATCATAGGGCCGGGCGCTTCCAAGTAAGCGGCCAAAAAGGTCAGACTGGTCATATTTCAAATTGAAATAGAGTATTTTGTTAAGAATGTAGCGGTGAAACTGCTTTTCCGTGCTAGGCAGATGTAAAATAACTGTAATCTGTCTGTACCGAAATACAACAGAACCGGTCTGGCCGTTTTTCCATATAAAGAAGAGCGCCTCACTATTGTTCAATTTAAAACCTAAAAGTCTTACCTTACAAGGACATTAAGTAAATATTTTCAGTATTAGTCTCTTGAGAAATAGTAGTTTAAAAATTGTCGTTGCGATTGTATAACGCGAGCGAGCGAGCGAAACCTTTCTTTATAGTGATAATTCCATCATGTTGTAGGCTGATGAGCGATATTTCCCCTGAAATATGCTCGCTTAGATTTGCTTTTGAGAAATTTCGACGGATTCATGTATTAATGGATTCGATTCAGCCTGAAACAGCCAGGATGCAGCGAACAGACCAATTTAACGTGTTATGTATAAACTATATCCGAGTTCGAAGTCGAGAAGTGTCGAACTTAATTGTTTATCACGCTTATTGCGCAATCAAAAACAGGCCACCGTGTCGCACCGTGGCTCACGTGACAAAAGCTTCCCTTGTGATTGGTTTGCTACACTGCACCGTGTCCGAACGTTACTATATTTAATAACAATTGCGCAATAACCTGCATGCTGATCATGTCAACTAGTTGCTGTGATCGCAGCTTCGAATGCACGACTAGCTTCCGAACATACTCGGCACAATTCGGCAAGCTTTCGGCGAATTTTATAGTTCAGTGTTAACTGAACAATCATAATATAAAACAAGGAATAATAATTGGAAATTTGTTCCTACTCAATTCAGCAGGAATTGGTGATAATATGACAACGATTACGAAAGATACCCACCAAATTATTTGTGATTCAAAGAAATAATATGTACTTCTAAATAATCTGTGAATATTAGATTGCAGATGCATGGGAAAATTCTGGACGGGAAAATCTGACCGTGGCTCGAGCCACGTTCCATACGGTCTAGACCTGCGCCTGATGCCGGTTTTTAACCAATCCAGTAGAGGTTTTTCATGGTGGCTGTCTTCATGATCAGCTACAAATACAAACAAGGAACATGCATATAAAGAGGAGAACTTTGAAGTTGTACACAAAGATGGCCGCCATGAAAAACCTCTATTACTTCCCCTTTTTGTATATCTATATCACCGTAGTTAGAGCACTTAATTTGGGGGCTGTTATTGTATTTGTCCATATTTTCATATCATTGGGACAATAGCGTACAAAAGAAATCGTTCGGGCATGAATAAGACGAAAAAATGAATAAAATGCACCCCCATCAAATTAAGCTATGCAGCTATATATATATATGTGTGTTTACGCTTTTTTAAAAAAAAGCCCGTCTTCCAGAACAGAATAATATGAATATATTTTAACGCTAGTTGCTGCCTTGATTGCACTGCATTACAAATAATAAAATATCTATTATCCTCGACGAAGCAATTTCCAGTAAATTTATGATGCTAATAACGTTCTTAACTTTAATATACCTTATTATTACTCTAGATGTCGACGAATGTGAAAAAGGAACGCACAAATGTGACAAAAATGCAAAATGCACCAACACTCCAGGTTCATTCAACTGCCAGTGTCAACGTGGTTACACAGGAGAAGGACGGAAATGCGAAGGTGGCTATAAAATTGTTTTCAGTTGTGAAATAAAAAACAAAACATGGCAATATACTGATATTTTTCATGGTTGACTATTTTTCATGATTACTTCATGGTTGGCGAGTGCGTACGATATTTATGCACGAGTTGTGAATCGGAAAACGAACGCGTGAGCGTGGCGAACGAGTGAGTTTGCGATCCTTCACAACGAGTTTTTAATAAAAATCGTACAAACGAGCCAACAATGAAGTAATTTGTTTATTAAATGTGTATAGACAATTTGACAACGAGAAAATCACAAAATGATAATAAACGTTTCAACTTGAATCATCAAGTAATCTAAATATAACAAGCTTCTACTTTTTGTGAATCTACCAAGATTAAAATTGGCATAAATAGTTATAGATCCATTTCAATATTCAACCCAAGGGGTCCATTGTCTTGAGTATAATAATCCAATATTTTATTGTCTTAAATAATATATTAATCCAATACTTTGTAGGTTCTGCCAGATTAGTTTAATGATCACTATCTCACAACATTAATTAAGCCATTACGCTCTTTTGTCAGAAAATGACAATGAAAAACGCTTATGAGTGTTCCCGGTTGCAAATCACTTTCTTTTTACATGCTTTATATAATTATTCCATCTCAAACGGAATTTATCCGTTGTCTGAGCAACGTATTGTTTGCTATATACACGAAGAACCGACAGATTACGTTGATGAAAACCGCCTTCCTGCGATACTTAAGCATCGCTGAGCATCGGCAACTATCTGGGAGTGGTGAAAACCAGGCCTAAGAGTCCAGTTAAAGTTATGGTTCACTACATAATTGTTTCGGTCTCCTTCATGTTATGACATGTCAATCATTTAGGTTTCTTAATTACATCCCTGTTCCCTTATTAATGGTGCATGGTAGCCTCTACCTTAGCTTTAATCAAATAGCTTCTTAAGTTGCGGCCAGTTCTAATTGCCGCAAAACTAAAGTTCAGGGTAAATACTTTACGAGCTTCTGCATCTAAATACAATATGTGCAAGTATTTCTTAATCACCAGACCGAAGTGCTTTAGCAAAGGATGAAAAGTTATTTTTAAAGGCCCTCCAGTCTTACATCTTCGTTCCTTAATTGCCTTTCATTGTTCTATGTTCTATGATATATTCATCAAACTCTCTTAGTTTCCTTCTCAATGAACCATGTAGGGTTTGATCTATTTTTGAACCATTGAAAATGATGAATAACTATTTCGGAAAATTTTGGTAGATCTATAAGTAGAAGCTTGTTACTCCGGCGTGAGCGACGGAGTTGAAAATTCGCCTCGGTTTTGTTTTGTTTTAGTTTTTTTTTGTTTTTTATATTTTTCGTAGTCGCAAGTCTGTAATGGCGCGAAATATATTAGTTAATTTAAATGTGTATGTGACCGTATTTATCTACGTTCCAGTCTTGTCTCCCAAGAGTTGTGGTGCACAGCTTTGGTAAATTTTTCGATGCGTGATTCGATTTCGCTCGCATGATACGGCAATTCCTTCAAGAGCAACAAATAAACCGTTCTTTTCATGCTTTTCGACTAAGTTTAGATTGAATTGGGGTAAGAATATATTTAATACATGTACATTCTGGTCCTATTTTGATAATATCGCTGCTATTTCGCCGCTTAACAAGATGATGTGGTCGTGTATGGGCGCGTTGACACGTCGTAGTTTGCACAGGATTGTTAATATAACTATATAAGCCCGAATCTCAAAGGCAAAGTGTAAGACAAAGCGAATATATCATGTGGTTATTTACATTTTTGAACAATTGATCTTTTATACTTTTTAAAGTACGATGTGCTTCTGAATTTCGCAATCGAACATTTAGGTTCGCAAGGCATCTAAATGCGAATATGAACTGTATTGTTTATGTTCAAAAGCTCTATATTGAAGACTGGCACGTGCGCCGAAGTTAACGCCAGAACAGGCGTCTTGTTATATTTAGTTTACTTGATGAAGATATTAAAGTTGAAACGTTTATAATGATTATGTGATTGATTTATAAATGGCTTTTTGCCAGTTGATATGATTGCCTTGTGACACACGTGAAACACCGTGTAGCCATATTTTTAATGGCCTTTTTAGATACTGCTCTACTTCTCTTATTACACCTTTTTAAAAGGTGCTTTTGCAACATAATCATGTTTTGGTGAAAAACTATATGCATGTACATGATCAAAATATATATTAATAATTGTAATTTCCAAAATTTATATAATAATATGACTATTCCTAAATCATGCAAAATATTTTTTATTGTCTGATTTATATCCCAAACAAAATTACGTATTCTGGTTGACTGACATCAAGATTATTTTATTAAAATACTACTAATCAAAAATGCTTGAGATTAATGCAAAGTAAACTCGATCATAGCAAAATGGGTATATCAGAATAATGCTAAAAACGGTTTTATATCACACATCATTTATATTCAAACATGGAACATTTAAAAAAATTTTCAACTCAATATAATATTTTAACCAATGATAACGAAATTAATGACCTAAAAACTGAGCATTCATGCATTAATGGCATTCTTTGTATCACACGCGGCCCTCATTTCTTAGAAACGCGATGTGCCGCAAATTTGCATAAACCTGTCAAATGACATCTTATTTCCAGTTTAAAAGGTATTTTAGAAGCAAAGTTAGGTGCCACAATTGAGAATTTTGCAATATTCCAGGATCTATAATTTTTTAATTTCACGTCAAGCGTTCAATGGCCTTCATTACTTTGGCTTTAAAATTACATATTGCTGATTTTCAGTTGAAGATACACTAAACCCCAGCTTCAACCCACATAATTAGTTCCGATGGTACAAAAAAAAGAGAAAAAATGGTGCCATTCCATGCATTGGTAACCTCAAAAATTAGCATATTTTGGCCAATTTTGGACGGTTGAGAAAAGTTCGCATAGCGGCTGTAAAAACACTTCGCGATGATTCTAACTCAGGTTTCTTAGTCAGTATAGATAAGAGTATCGACGGTAGAAATATAAAAGAAATCTATTTTTGAAGCTCAGATCCAATGATCCGCTTTTTCAAAGGCTCCCTATTAATAATTAAAATAATTTAACATAACACTAGCTATAGATGAGAAAATTAAACTCCGAATAAGGTAAGAATCTAGATCTTGTCGTATTTTTGCAATTTTTTCCAAAAAATATACGGCCGTTGCGAGTTGCTATGACTACATTGCTTGCAATTCGGAAAAAATATATCCATACTTCTTTTCTTACACACCCCTTCAAACTCTTTAACCCACAAAAATTTTCTAACTATCATGTTACCCTCTCTTGTAGTACGAATTAATGTTTACACATTCGTTGTATTTGTCGGACGCAGATATTCTAAAGACAATAAATCTTAAACAATATTTTCAGCTGAATGCCCTCTTGGGTGGGAGAAATTCAATGGACTCTGCTTTTATATCAGCAATGGCGTTGCGACATCATGGAATAATGCGAAAGACGACTGTCTTCAGCGTGGCGGTAATTTGGCAGTTCCAACCAACACGAATATGAATAATTATCTAAATCAGGCTATGAAACAACATAACGTCAACGCAGCGTGGATTGGTATGTACCGAAAATCTGGAAGTATCTTTTACACAGTGAGAGATGAGGAGATCTCCTATGGAAACTGGAACCCAGGGGAGCCTAACAACGCTGGCGGGAATGAAAACTGCGTGGAAATGTTCAACGGAGCAACAGGGAAATGGAATGATTTGCCATGTTCGATCAGTCGTCATTACTTCTGTCAGCGGCAACTGTGAATATTCGACAACAGCTGAAATTGAAAATAAGAAGAAAATACGGCGACGGACTTTACATTTAAATATTTAATCTGAAAAGAATCGTTTTAATTTTTTCCAACTAGTCAATCGTTTGCCGAGTTTCACTCTTTAATCGAAAATCAATATGAACGACATCTAAGAGCATTAATGATTTAAATATAAGTTATCTTCAAATCGAACCAGTAGCGTAGCTAGCCTGACGATTTTGTCCCACTATGTTAATTTCGAGTTAATATAATAATTCAAGCTTTAGAAATCTATTGTTTTCACAGTCGGTTAACCCAAATCCGGATAACGGATATAACGGGTAACCGCGGTAACCGGATAGCCGGATAACGGTACCTCTAGAAACTGATCATTGATAAATATCAATATTCGATATCGAAATAAAGATTATAGAGAACATTTTTAGTCTGAACGGTAAATTAGATTAATTAAGAACAACAGGGACTACAATTTCTATAACTAGAATATCTATTTGCATTTTTGAATTTAGATGTCTTTCAGTGCTTGTAGAAGTCTTCACTGCATTTAACAAATCTTGAATCTTATTGTAGTCAAAGGTAGGCGGACTGTGCTCGACCTCAAACTCGACAAAAAGTAAAAAGGACGAAAAGTGATATAAATGAACTTTCATCTGCAGTCTATAGTCGCACGCCGAAGTCTGTGTGCTCGTAATATGACGAAAGTATCAAACAAATAAGCGCACAAGACGACCGGTATAGATAATCGAGGTGAAATATTGCGGTGCCCGCGCCAAGTTTGGCACCGCATTATATTCTGCCTGTGAGTTTGTTTGTTCGCATCAATACGTTTCCTTAATCGCCTAGTAAAAATTCCTTGCACATGCTTGGAATGCTTGGAATTTTTTCCTAATTATTACTATTAAATCTTGTTGTACGTTTTAAAAATTCCTTTTTTAAAGGAACGTTCTTTTTTCAATTTCAATCTCAAACTCTGATAATTGCGTGTATCTCTGCTTTTATGCACCCAAGAAGGACAAAAATACCACCATTCGATTCAGCGTAAGAAATTATACTTACAGGTCTTAAATATATTACTAAACAAGAGTATTCGCAGCGATTTATGACGTTTAAAAGACAAACGAAATTGAATTGTTGACAAATCGCTCAAAATTACTATGCTATACTTTACTAGTAATAGTAAGTTTGGTCTTTGATATCTTTCATATCGTTAATTTTCGTCCTTAAATAAGTGGATCGGTCTGACATTACGATTTATTTTATAGTACTTTGAGCCAAATATATTCGATTTCGAAGGTTTTAAAGTATAGTTTCAATAGGCGAACTTTATGACAAATCGCTCAAAATTATTAAACAAATTAAAAATGCAGTACGCTTAATCCTTGACTTCTGTATCGTTGCTTTTCTAGTTTCCGGCTCTACACCAGTTTATTCGTCTCACGTTTCTCTTCATTTTGATAGTATTTTTAGATAGTATTTGTAGCCTAAATATTCTATTTCTGAAGATTTTAAAACGGCGCAATTTTGACCTTAATGTACCAACCAACCAGGCTGCGGCCGACAGGAGATTGTAAGTTGGTGATGTCGTTAGAAATGAGCGGACGTTTTATTTCTAGGCGAGCATTGCGGGCACCGCATTTTAGTACTGTGTCTGGTTCAAAGTCATATTCTCTCCTTTCTTGAAGCATTCCTAATCAAACGTAACAAACCTGTCTATTACATCTTTTCTACAATCTTCTATTTGCGCTTTTTCTCTGTGTTGTATATATTTGCGTTTTAAAGTATTGTATTCCATTCTGTCTTAAGATCACTTGAAATAAAGTCGAAAATTAATAGTCTCAACCTGTGTCTTGTTTGATTTATTTTTTTGTTTCTCAAGATGTTCTTTTTATTCGGATTTTTTTTTTAACCCAACGAATTCGAATATTATTAAAGTTCACGCAGACTTTTAAATGAATATGGAGATAATATTCTATAGCGCGTAAGACTTAAGGACAAGCTAATATACCGTTCAGAATAGATATCGAATATTGATATTTATATTTATCCGATTAACTGGCTATCTGGTTATCCGGGTATCCGGCTAGGTTATTCGTGTTTTCTGCCATGCCCGGCAGAACGGCATTTAAGCACGGTAGAATGGATTTTGCAAGTAAGGTATAGCGAATACAGAATACGTTATTTTGGTACGGGCCAAACAAAAAAGTGTGCATATTGCTTATTGTTTACGGTACAGGCCAGAGACAAGGTATGTATTTATTTATTGAATGCTTGGCACCAGCCATTACATGAAATAGAATATTTCTGAGTGCAAATTTGAGTAGTGTTGTCAGTACCTACGAAGCAACGCCGTTCTAGAAGTGTGTTTTTCACGAGTCTAACTGGTGCTAACGATATATATCTGTTGCAGGTAATACGTAGCCGGTAGCGTAGCCAGCCTGACCAATTTTCCCGCTGTGCTAATATTTTGGTGTTCATTGACTGTGAAAACAATAAATTTCTATAGACATGAGTAATTATAATAACATGAAATTTAAATAGCGGGACAAAATCGTTAGGCTGGCTACGCGCCTACGCCACTGCATGCACGTAGCAGTGCATGTAATATAGAAAGAGGCTCCAGATATAGTAAGAAGAAACTTGTGTGAATTTATTAAGGTTTTGTTGGGATCCACAGCAGAATCTACAACAAAAATCTATGTAAACATTATAAAGCAGTTTTTCGCATGGTGTATACGGCAAGAGCAATCTCATTATCATCACCATTTCATGCCCTAGTTTTAGCGCCATTCATACATGACAAAGCACAGTCGGTAAATTCGGGTTCCTTATTTACTGTTGCTAGTGGCGCCCTAAAATGGCTTCACGGATTTTATCCAGACAGTAAGAATAACCCTTTGGACGGCGACTTTTGCAAAAATGTTGTAACAGCTTCGAAAAGGCAAGTAAGTCGTCCACTACAGAAGGAAAAGCCCTTATCATCAAAGGCAATAAAATATATCGACATCATAGACGAGTTTGGAAGAAGCCAAAACAACTTGAAAGATCTAAGGGTAGCGGCACTATGTGCGTTGGGATTCGCAGGACTCTTTCTTTATGACGAGTTAAGAAACATTCAAGCAAACCACATTGCATTTCATGTGGATCATATATAAAAATACTCAAGAGCAAGACTGATGTATATCGGGAAGGGCAGTTTTTCTATATAGCTAAATCTAGCAGTAATTATTGCCCAGTGGAAATGTTTGTAAGATATATGGAGGCGGCGGAGATATACCGTTACAGCTAGCTTAGTTCCAATTTTTTTTTCCTGTGACGTTTCGAAAGATAAATCAAGAACGTACGTTTTAAGGAAAGGAGAACTATCTTATCAGTTCAAGGTGTACGTATAGAAATTTTTAAAGAATCCATGCCATCACTTGGTTACGACGCAGAGAATTGTGGTTTGCACAGCTTAAGCGCAGGTGGGATAACTTCAGTTGTTCAGAACAGCAATAATACGGTTGAAGAAAGAATGTTGAAATTGAACAGAAGATAGAAGACTGATCGATGCAGCAAAGGACATGTACAGTATAATGCTCAGAAATAACCTAATCAAAAACGCGTTCCGAACGCGTTCCAGAACGCGTTCCGGACGCGTTCGAGGACGCGTTCGAGGACGCGTTCCGAACGCGTCCTCGAACGCGTCCGGAACGCGTTCCAGCATGCATTCGATATTCATCGGCTATCGACTCCGGATCTTGTCGTCTATACCCGGATATTCCCGATTTAGTTTAATCACACTGTGGTTTAATCTATGCTTTATAAATTGCGAAGCTCTTAGTGTACGCTAGAAAAAGGGTTATTTATTTAAAATCCACCGGAAATACACACAAAAAAATAAAAGAAATTCTTCTTGAGGAAGGAATTAAAACCTCAACGTCGGCTATTTCTCTGTTTCTCTCGCGATATCGAAAGACGGGTAGCCTCGTGGACGGTGCTCGGAGTGGTCGAAAGCCGAAACTAAGCGAGGAGCATGGCAATTTCATAGATGTAAAAATGAAAAAAAATGACGAGTTAACATCCCGTGAGTTAAAAGAAAAGATTTCCGTAGATTGTGGAATTGATGTATCGACCGCAACAATTAGACCAGCAAGGCGGAAGCTGGATTGGAAAAAAGAAAACGCCAGATATTGCCAGTTTGTCCGAGAGCCAAACAAAATGAAACGGTTGGTTTTCTGTTTGAAGGCCTTGAGTGCATGAGCTGGATAAGTTTGAGAACGTGATATTTACAGACGAAACTTTATCGTATCAAGAATTGATGTAGTTTGGTCACTTTCGAAATATACGAGCATTCTCTTCGCATTTCGTTGACGCTGAATTTCACGTGTAGCCATGACTAAAACTTAATCTTTCGAATTTCGGCAGATTAAGTTGCCTAAGTTAAAATTGCCTTGGAATGTGACGATAGTTCGCCGGTAAAGTTATTGTTAATGTTATAAGGAAAATGTTATCTCAATAATAAAATTGCTAAAGTTTGTTTTTGTTTTTGAGGTGGTCGTTTCACAAACAAGTGCAGCGTAGGCGTACGGCTCTAAATCATGTTTTGACAGCATCAAAACCTCAATTGTTCACATGTAATGTGATGTGAATAAAATTACTGTAATCTCCCTACTCTGTCTTAAGCCTACGATAAATATATATAAAACAAAGACCAAAAACAACTGTGTCTCTCAATACTATAGTTTCTGTGATAGACTGAGCCTGTGATCAGTAAAAACCGTACTTGATGCCTCAAACTTTGGCGTTCTATGTTGCCTCAACTCAAGTGTCAATTTTAAAACACTTTACAGTGCAAAACAAACACAAACACAATTGTTTAACTTTTAAAATATCGAACGTTTCTGTAATTATTGGAATTACTTTTTGATCACATCAGAGTGATTAGACCTCGCAAGATATCATGCAAAACCGGCAAGCATAACTAATTACACATTGTCATTGTCACAGATGTGA